ACTGCTCACGACTTCACAGCTTAGAGTCAATAAAGAAACATTCACCTCACATGCAGGCCCAGAATACAAAGGCCAAGAGTTGTTAACTTCACATCAGCTCTAGAAGAGATCTGAGTCACGCAGGCTTGTGTTGCCTACCACATGCTAGTCCTTCACAGCTCAACAGCTTTGCTAGTTGTCACCAGAGACTGCAGTTTGTGTCTTACCGTGATTTTCATAGGTAGTAACAGCAGAACATTTGGCCCCTTGTGTATCTCAGGGAGCTGAGGGTTAGAAATCCGATCCTTCCCCTTTTCATTGTTCTAAAACCATGAATTAACCCCATCACCTCTTACTCAAAGTCATGAGACTAGCTTGAGAATAATATTTTAATTGTCATGTGAATCTGAAGTTCTAATGCTCGGAGGGAAATAAACGCATTTTTAAGCTTTCTCCGAAACTATTCATTTGAAAGAAAGGAAAAAGAAAGCTAGGATTCTTGTGTGGCTAACATACATCAAGAAGCTGATGCTTTAAGAAAAGCAGCAACCGTCATGAGAGTTGGCAACTTTCAAATCGCTGGTTATTGAGGAAAGAATATTAAATAGCTATCATCAATCTATCTAAGCCCAGAAAGTGAGCCGTGAAACATTGACAAAGGGGAATATCTGGGCTGACAATTATGGCATATTTATCTTTTAAATAAAGAATAATGGAGTTACATGGAGGAGACTTATTTTAACTCCAAAACAGTAAAGTATCTGTCTAGGTACTTAAATATCCCTTATCACCTTAAGGTGATATTCGAGCACCTCAGGGTAGGAGAGAGAATTTATTCAACCAGCTCTTTTAGGGACCACCATTCCACCTACATGTTCTTACGGAGGCTAGAGTAACTAACACTAGTATCATGAACAGAAGAAAGGGAGTTTAGAAACCAACCTTCTGAATCTTCTGTGTCCTAGCACAGCCTCCCAATGCAACAGTAGACCAGTCATTTCCCTTTTCATCCTTGGCTTCTTTTCTGCCAAAGAGAGAAAATATCAGATTATCACAAGAATAGCTTTTTTGAGGAAGAAAACATTTTCACTTATTTTGCTTCCCAGCACATGTCATAAGGCCTAATATCTGGAGGATCACTTGCACAGAGGATCACATGAGAAAGGCATGTCTATGCACAAGGTCACATACTGGGACAGGAGCCATAACACTAGGGCACCATTAACAGCAAGCTTCATTCCTGCCAGCCCTGGGGCTGACTGAGCAGCGCACCTCTAGTACCCATTCAACCCTAAACTGGAGTGTTTTTACACAGACCATAGCAAAAACAAAAACAAAACAAACAAACAAACCCACTAGCTTTCTGCCAGCTGAAACAGCCTACCACAATACAGACAGGTACAGGAGACCTTGCACTGGAGAAGGAGAAGAGAGGAAAAGTCAGTGCCCAAACCTTGACCTGATGTGAGACTGAAACAGTAGGCCACTGTTTGAATTAGAAGAAAAATTACAAGTACAGAGACAGCTCAAGGAAATCAGGTAGTATCAGAGCCCAGTGCACAGCTACATACTACCATCTATACCTACCCGCTACAGATATCTAACTAGGAAGCTTGGTCAGTTGAATCCACATACCTGCACCTCCTTTCCCCCAACTCCAGTAAGGGCCCAGTCCTCACAAAAATCACTTTTGCTGTTGAGAGTTAGTCATGGACTCAGTATCCTATCCCCATATCTTTTTTTCATCTGAGCACTAGAACCTGGCCAAGGTACTGTCCTGGATCCTACCAGCAAGGACTCCTATTTGCCTTATACTCTGATAAACTCACCTGCTTTTTTCCCCCCAACATCCACATCTTGCCTGCTGACATTATGAAAAAAGCAAATACACCTCGAAAGACCCTAACCAAACTCACAGCAAAACCCTGTTTCTGTGCCTTGTAAAGAAGTACTGAAGTCCTACCCCACCCGCAAGAAAACGAGCACCTGCTGTCTGAGGGCACACAGCTGATCCCAATACACTTTTTCTCCTACCTCTTCCAGTTGCCCCATCAGCTTTCCCTTCACACTCTGCCTCCTATATGCACCCAGGCGGAGTCAGGCAATCTCCTCTTGCTTTAAGCCCTAACAAAAACAATTCTCAGTCCTCCCTTGAGTGGGGTCTTTCAGATGTATGATACCCAATTTACACCTGAATGAGGACACTGAGAAAGGAGCCATGGCTCCTGCAGTCCCATGCTACCTCACCCTTTAAGAGGTGTGTGCTTCCACAGCCCTCGGAGGTTGTGGCACGTCCTAGTTGGTGGCAGAACATTAGCGTTAGAAGCCTGACGAGCAAATGCTGCCCTTCTCTCTCCTTTACAAGCTCCGAAGAATTTATTCTTTTTTGTTTTACCATTAAGGGTTTGGACTTTATCTTAACAGCAGCGAAAAAAAAATGCAGCAGCACACAATAAATCTGCTCTACTAGTTGACTCACCTCCGCTTTGCAGAGTACCCTCGCAGACTGAAATAGCCCAGACCAGGCAGCCAGGAGCCATGCTGAGGCCAAAACACAGCCTGGCTGTCAGTATTTTTGCACTGGGTCAAGCACGCAGATAAGTATCCCAGGGTTCCTCGTGCTGGGAAGCTCTCTTTTTTTTCTATTTGTTGCTCTCTCCGGGGTGTCCTTTGCAAGGAAGGCAGGAGTGCAGCGATCACGCTTACAACTTCTTGACAAAATAAGTAGGCTTCAGCCTTCACTAAAATCAAAACTCTGGCTTTTGCTTCAGCTATGCACAGAGAGGGGGGTGCCTGCAGAAGGGAATTAGAGCTTGAACAGAGAGCAAAAACAGACCATAGTGAAACCTCCAAATCCTGAAACCACATGACTAAGCTTTCCTAACTACATAGTAGGCACTATGCTGTTCCAGAGAACTCATGCTCATCCAAACGCATGGCTTGTATGTAATTTAAACCTGTAGAAGACAAGTATGCCATCAAAAACGTCTAAATTGAAATGAAAGAGCAGATATCAGAAAACCGTGCTGGCACTTTAAGAGTGGACAAATGATAACCCTAAGCTTTGTGGAAGAAATTCAGGCAACGGCAAGGAAGCGTCTTACCTTCATAATGAAACGCTTTCTGTTGGCCAACGTAAGGGAAACAGACGCCAGTAATTTAATCAGGACTCTGGAAATTCCTATTGTTTTATGCTGGTGGAGAATGAGATTCAGAAGAAAATCCTTAAATCTTTCAAGAGCAGAATTACTTATTTCCTCCTCTAAAGCAGGAGAAGCAGCAGCTGCCACAACTCTGCTTCAGTCTGCTTTTCAGAAAGCACGGAGAACTCATTCTCTGAAAGTTAGCTGTCATCCCCAAAATCTTGACCCTTAAAATTACTCTTACTCTAGTAAAAAGCATTCTAGGTCACAGGAGGATCAGAAATAGGCAATAGCAATTGCTGCAGAACCTGTTGTTCCAGAATATTTTTTATGGGAGCTGGTGTTCATATTCTAATAGTGGCTGTACAATATTTTATTGATTCAATCCATTCTATTACAGAGGAAAATTATTCATCCACTTTTTCACCTTACCTCAGCTCTTACATACTACAGTGAGGTAGATCACTTATTAGGCAACATGGATTTAGGGAACAAGAAGTGTTCAGAGGGATTAGGTGCAACGAAGCAAAACAATGTTCTCCAATTTGCACTTTTTTCTCACAAAATGGGATCATTAGCCCTGTACCGGATCAATGATTAGTAATAACACTGGCACTTCAAAATGTGACTTTGCATAACGGTATCGGAAATGTTTAGGGAGGTAAGTTTATAAGTAATTCACTGGAAACGTAACTCTTTGTTTCCTTCCCAGTAACCAGTGTTGGGGGGCAGGGGGAGGTTACAAAGCCAACTTGCTAAAAGACTGTATTTTACTATTTAATCCTCAATCACACACATGACTTCACGGTGGAAAGGTCATCAGACACAGAAGTTCAGTTGACTGGGTCTGAAGCGGAGGCTTGTGCGGCTGGTCTCCGCGGTGCTCTTGCTGAACAGCGTACCTAAGCAGCGCCAACAGCTCTTCTGCCTCGGGCGGGGAAGCTCGGTGCTCGTGCGGCCGCGAGCCGGGGTTGTGGCAGACCCTTATTCTGCGGGAGCAAACTCTGAAGTTCTCACAGCAGACAGACACAGCCTTCGCCAAAACAGGGGAGTAAGCTTAAACTAATCTGTTACCCCTTCAAGCATTTGCACCGTAGGCGGCCAAAACACCGTACCCCCCCAACCCCCGCAAACGTAAAAAGGGCGGCGGTAATTACCGCGGCCTGAACGCGGTGCCCTCACCGGCTCCCTCCACGCAGGCCCTCGACGTCGCCCGGCCTCCGCAGGCACCAAGCTCTGCCCGCACCTGCCC